GCACCCAGGCCTGGGTCCGGGGGAGTTGCAGAAGGGGCTCCACGCTCAGGCCTCGGGGGCCTCCCCATACCGCGTTGCCCACCGGCCCACTTTGCCCAGTGTCGGAGAAATCGAATCCGGCTTACGTTTCTCCAGAAGCCTTGGAAGAGGACAGGGGCATTGCGGGAAGACGCGTTGCCCGCGGGCGAGGGTCTTGCCCTCCCACGGCCGGTGCGTCCCCACACCTTGCTCCTTGGCCTGGGCTGGACCCTCAAAACGCGCTCTCCAGAGTCTCACCAGGGACGTGGCCTCCGGGTGAAAGCAGGCAGCTTCCGCGAATGCCCGCCCCCTTGCCTGGCACTGTTCTCGCGGCGCTGGCGCTGTCACTACTGGGAACCACAGTGTCGTGGAGAGCTGCCTGCTGCCCAGGCGCTCTGCCCTGCGCTGTGGCAAATAAAGGAACTGTTGAAGTTTAGTTATTATCGCTAATCTCTTACTGTGCCTAATGATACATTAAACTTTATCATAGGTGTGTATGCATAGGAAAAAACGTGGCATATATAGAGTTCGGCACTATCCTTAGGTTCAGACATCCGCTGGGGGCTGGGAACGGATACTCACGCAGGGTAGAAGACTATAGTAGCTTTGAAACAACCAATCCGCTTTCTCTTCCCCTTTTCTGCTTTCTTCAGACCTTTTCTGTCTAGAAAACCCACCTTTTCTGCTCAGCTTATGAGAACACCTTGTCTATATTTTCAGAGATGTAACCTTGATTCATGAATCACTTCTAAAAGCCAGTTAGAGCTTTATGTTGTAATTCTGGCTTTTGACAAACAGATATTAAATAATTGCCGCAGGGTTGGAGGACCAAGAGACTTTTCTGATAACAGTTTTTCTGAGGACTTTCTCAAAGATAGTTTCACTTTTACTTATTTCCTTAGTCCATCGCTAAATTGAATATCCACTCTTGGGTGAGTTGGAGCAGCTTGCAGCAGACCAAGGTTTCCACTAACAACAACAAAAGCCAGAAAGCAAAGTCAGAAAACATCAGCTGTATTTGAAAGGAGTGGAGAACGGCTGAGGCTTGGGGCCAGCTTGCTATTCAGAGAGGGGAGATTCTTCCAGGGGTGAGCTAACGTCTGCAGCTACTCCTATAGATGTCTGTGGATATTTGCCAATTCTGGACACTTCTGTGAGGCTAAGAATCCAGGCTTTGAGCCTACAGAAGGCCACTGATGGTGACAGAAAACCAGCAGAGCTTTTGTCAGAGACCAAGAGGGGATTTCCAAGGATGTTTGTTGAATTCTAGGCTTGTATGGGGTAAGAAACTGAATCCTAAGTGAAAAGCCACTATAAAGCTAAGGATGGACATGATGGACTTGCAAAATGAAGATTCAAGTTTCAGATTTGCTGGGTGGGGTAGGGTGGGGCAGAAGAGAGTTGCTGCAGGGCATAAGCCAGGCTTCCAGTTTGAGACTGGAGGCATAGAGATAGCCTGAGCCCCACCAGAACTTCACCTTAGCCTTGGGGTACAGTCCCTGATAGGATTGGAGCTATTGCCCACTCATCTCTTTGGGAAGGTAGAGGAAAGGGAAAATTTCCTCCCTGGAGGATGATAACATTTGAAGCTTCTACAACTTTTTACAAGCTATGTTTGGCATCTCATAAAAAATTACTAAATACGCATAAACACACACAGAAACAATAGAAACAGACCCACAGATGATCCAGACATTGGAGTTACTTGACTTTAAAATAACTATAATTGGCCTCCTTGTCTTTTCTTTGTTGCAACCATGAGGGCCTGTTCACTGTCTATGGCGAGCATAGCTTGCTCTATCAGCCTATATGTTGCTATTACTCTGTAAAACTATCTTTCTCTTTCTCAACACACTGTTTCATTCTTGGTTTACTTTTTGGTCACTTTTTGACCAACAGCCCTTTAAAGATTGAGGAGTCAAGCAGCTGCCTGAAACCCTGACATTTTAGGAGAAGAAAGGCAGCTGCACTGAAGCCCAACATTTTAGATTTCCAAGAAGCAGCCCATACCCCTCAAAGTTGTGCACGGTTGGCCAGGGTGGTGGCTCACGCCTGTAATCCTAGCACTCTGAGAGGCCGAGGCAGGTGAATTGCCTGAACTCAGGAGCTCGAGAACACACTGAGCAAAGCAAGACTCCACCTTTACAAAATAGAAAAAAGCTGCACATGCGTTGTGACAGGTGCCTGTAGTCCCAGCTACTTGCGAGGCTGAGATAAAAAGATTGCTTGAGCCTAGGAGTTTGAGGTTGATGTGAGTTATGATGCCATGGCACTGAACCTCAGGGCAACTGAGTCAGACTCTGTCTCAAAAAAAACAAAAAAAGTCATGCATAGTTAATAAACCTTTCTTTTCTTGCCAAAAAAAAAGTACGATTAATATGTTTAAGAAAACTAGAAAAGGTAGAAAAGTTTACTTGAGTGTTAATCTATATAAAAATAAGTCAAATGGGAACTCTAGAAGTCAAATGTATAATAAATAAAGTTATAAACTCTGCATATTAGAAAACCAAAGGCAGGATTAGTGAACTGCAGACACATCACTAGAAAACACCCAACTGAAGCACAGAAGGAAAGAATGGAAAATACAAAAACAAGCATTAGCGACACAGGGGCCATGATGAAAAGAACTACCACGCATTTAATTAGTTTTCCTGAAAAAGGAGGATGGGGTAAAAATAATATTTGAAGAGATAAAGCCAAGAGGCCAGGGTTCTCAAAACCAATGAAAAACATCAACTTATGGCTCGGTGCCTGTAACACAGTGGTTACGGCACCAGCCACATACACCAAAGGTGGCAGGTTTGAACCCAGCCAGGGCCAGCTAAACAACTGCAACAAAAAAATAGCTGAGCATATTTTATATCAAATTCTTTTTAACATTAAAAATGGTTTAAGCAGTTAAGTGTGGTGGCTCATTCCTATAATGCTAACTCTCTGGAGACCCAGGTGGAGGATTCCTTGAGCTGAGGAGTTTGAGAACAGTCTGAGCAAAGTGAGACACTGTCTCAACGAAACATAGAAAAATTAGCTGGGCATGTGGCATATAGTCCAAGCTACTCTGGAGACTGAAGCAGGAGGATCACTTGAGCCCAGGAATTTGAGGTTGTTGTGAGCTGGGCTGGTGCCATGGCACTCTAGCCTGGGCAACAGAGCGAGACTCTGTTTTGAAAAAAAAAAAAATGATTTAAGAAATAAAACACAGGCTCGGCGCCTGTGGCTCAAGTGGCTAAGGCGCCAGCCACATACACCTAAGGTGGCGGGTTCAAATCCCCAGCCCGGGCCGCCAAACAACAATGATGGCTGCAACCAAAAAATGGCCAGGCGTTGTGGTGGGC